AATAAGCATCGCCTAATACGCTCTATCGTTTTGTTCATCCCTCCATGCCCGGCTATGACACAGTCATGGGCTCGCCGAATTACGTCTGCGCGAAGTATAACTTCCACGCTTGCTCCTTCTGCAAAAGATCACCCGTATTGTGTTCCATACGGATATATACGTATTGATCAATTACGCGCAAGTCGGGAAGCTTTTCGCTTTCGGATAAAACTTTACTTCTTAATGTTTCATAGTCGCTGTCATAGAATGCAGGTGAGTCTAAATCGATTTCCGGTCCAACAACTTCAAGAGAGGCGATTTCTTTGTCCGTGGGAAGTCGCGATAACGCGTCAGGAACGACATTATCTTTTCCTTTTCGATGTGATACGGTAAACTTGTAGCCTTGAAGCTTTAATGCCCACCGAGCAAGACGTCCACTCAAATTTTGCTGACGCATAAGCCACACCAAGCTGGAATGGTCAGTGATGATTTCAAATTCTTGAAGTTCTAGATAGCACCTAAATTTTTCAATGGCGGTTATGGCGGCCAAACATTCCCTTTCGGTGACGCTATAATTTCTTTGCGCGGTATTCAGTTTTTTTGACATATACGCAACGGGTTTCTCATCACCTTCCTCTGACAATTGAACCAAAACGGCTCCAATTCCATAATCACTAGCATCGCAATGTAGATAGAATTTTTTTGAAAAGTCCGGGTTTTGCAAAATCGGAGCAGAAATAAGTAACGATTTCAGTTTCTCAAACGCTATTTGAGCCTCATCTGTCCATACAAACTTTTTCTTGGTGGAGAGGACTTCAGTAATTGGAAAAGTGACTTCGGCAAAATTTTCTATAAATCTTCTGTACCAACCACATATTCCTAAGAAACCACGCACCTGCTTTAAATTGCGTGGAACTGGCCAAGACAAAATGGATTCAGTTTTTGAAGGATCAGTGGCTATTCCCCCTTTTCCGATAACATACCCTAGATAATTAACTTCCGTTACACAAAACTGACTCTTACTAATGTTTAAGGTCAAATTTGCTTTTTTGAATTGTTCCGCAAGTCTTATTAATACGGCCAAATGGGATTCAAACGTATCAGATACTATGCACAGGTCGTCTAGATAACCGAACACACAATGACGGAGCTCTGGGGGAATAATTTCGTCCATTAATCTGCACATGGTCGACGGCGCATTGCAGAGGCCGAATGGCATGACGACAAACTGGTACAAAGGCCGACCCGGTATCGTAAATGCAGTCAATGGTTTCGATTTTTCGTCCAATTCAATCTGCCAATAGGCGTCTTTCAGGTCCAGCTTCGTTATTATATACGCCTTAGGTAGTCGGGCAAAAATACCTTCTATGTTGGGCAAAGGATAAGCATCCTTTTTTGTAACCTCATTTAATTTTCGCGCGTCAAGACAAAGACGCACCTTCCCCGGCTTAATAACGAGTCTCATGGGAGAACTCCAAGGACTTGTAGACCGTTCAATGACACCCAATTCAAGCATTCTGTCAATTTCCTGGAACATCAAGGTTTCTACGTTTGGGCTCACAGGATAAAATCTTTGCTTGATTGGTCTGGCGTCTCCTACCTCAATACTATGCCGGATGAAGGAAGTGCGACCTAGCCCTTGCATCTCAAAATTCGGAAAAAAAGACTTTATAGCTTCAAGTTGCTGTTTTTGTATTGCAGATAATGGAAAGTTAATATCTTTTGGTAACTGCTTGGAGTCGA